GGTATGTTGCCCCACAATAAATTAGGAGATAAACAAGCCAAGAGATTATTTATTTTTGCTGATGAAGAAATGCTAAATAGAGATAAGAAAAAAAGTTTACAAGCCCAGGAGAAAAATTTCATCAAATTAGATTAGAATTAAAAAAATTGCAGTTTTAAAGGTTAGTCTTGTATATAAAACAATATTTAATGATGATTAATCCCCTAAAAACAATAATCCCTATGACAATAATTTCACAAAAAAAAAAAAAAAAAAAACAATCTTAATAATTAGCGGTCTATTATTAGTAGCAGTTATCGGCACTATCGCTTATTTCATTTGACCCAAAAAGGAAGTCAAAGTCGAAACCAAACAGCAGAACGAGGAGAAAAAAATTCAGCAATTACAAAGTCAATTATCCCAGATAAAAAATGACCTCAACAAGCCAGAAAACCAAGCCAAAAAAAACTGAATTTTCGGCTCAAATAACTGAAATAGGAAGCGAATTAAGCAATATTACCGGCAAAAATAATCAAGAACTAGAAAAGGTAATCCAAAAATTAGAGCAGGAAATTGGAAAAATTAAGGAGAAATTAGAAAATAATAATCCTGATAATTCAGGGCCTCCGCCCGAAAATCCTGTCTCTGTCAATAAGTGATGGATTGACGCGGAAGCAAGTTTAGAGACTTGCAAGTATCGTTTCAAAACTTTGGATGGTAGTCAATTCACTTACCGAAATTTTATCGAACTTTTAAAATCCCAAGATAAAAAGTTTTTCGGTGTGTTCCAAGGAGCCTTAGAAGATGCCAACTCTAAATTCCCAGCCTATTTTTGAAAATGCCCGCCAGTATCAAAAAATACTCTTGATAAACCTTTCGAGTTTGTGGTAATTAAATCACAGAGTTTAGCCGATATTAACCAAGATTATTCCAGTTTTCAAAAGCATTTTGATAAAAGCAGTAACATTAATGTAGTAAGTTTTCCTAGTCCCAGTGGTAATATATTAATTTCTCCTATACCAAAAAAAAGCGCTGATTATAAAAATATTAGTCAATTTACTAAAAATGCTTCCGACGAACAACAACAAGAACTTTGAAAAGAAGTTGCTAATAAGTTAATAGAAGAATTGGAAAAGGGTGCTGATGCTCCCCGTTGGTTAAATACAGAAGGAACAGGAGTTAAATATCTCCACGTGCGAATTGATAAAGGCAACAGATTTTATTCAAATTATCCGGAATATAAAAAATGAGAATAAAAATATTTTGAAGGCTTTTTTTCTAATTCAGCAATTTCCAAATTTTAGTGGAGCAGAGTGCTAAAACTATGTTTATATGAGTGAAAGTGCCTTTAAACAAAATTTTCCGAGCAAGCCCAAAAATAGATTTGAATTTAATTTCCACAACAAAGAGGTAATTTTTGAAATCGACCAGTTGGCAAGCAAAAGCGATAAATCGATAATTTGTCGCTATGGTAATACTACCGTTTTGACCGTTTTGACAATTAAAAAATTAGCCAAAAAAGTTAATTCTTTTTTTCCCCTCACTATCACTTTTGAGGAGAAATTTTATGCGGTGGGGCGGATTCCGAACGTTTTTGGCAAGCGAGAAGGCAAACCTAGTTATGACGCCATTACGGCTGCTCGCTTAATTGACCGTTCACTCCGCAGTTTTTTTCCTTTTCCCAGCCAGCAGGAAGTTCAAATAACTAATTCGGTTCTCTCTTTTGATCCGGACTGTGATCCTCGTGTAGTTAGTATTTGAAATTCTTTTTTGGTCTGCTATCTCTGCTCTGATTTACCTTTTTTTACTACGTCCCTGGCCGCCGTGATTGTTGGAAAAAATGAAAAAAATTTTATTAGCAACCCCAGCCGGGAAAAATTAGATAATTCGCCTTTAGAGTTAATTGTTAGTGCTACGGAGGAAAAAATTACCATGCTGGAAGCAGGAGCTCGGGAAATAGATGAAGCAGAATTGACCCAAGCCATTACTTTCGCTCACCAAGAAATTCAGGTATTAATCGGTTTTTTTCAACATATTGCTAACAGTTTAGGAGTCAAAAAAGAGGTAAAAACGATTCAGTTAGAAAAAAAAGCCAACGACCAATGGTTAGAAGAAAAAGGAAATTTTTACTTGGGGGAAATCCTTTTATCGTCTAACCTCTCCTGAATAGAAAAAGAAAAAAAAATGAAAGAAGTTCGCCAAAAATTAACCCAAGAGTATTACGTCCAAAATCCTCAATTAGAGGAAGAATTTGTGAAAGATTTGGTTGAGGAATTTTGAGACGATTGTCTGCGAAATTGCATGCGGAAATTGTGGCAAGAAAAACAAGTGCGATTGGATGGTCGAAGTGCCGAACAGATTCGGCCCCTAAACATGCAAATTGATTATTTACCTAATGTTCACAGCAGTGCGGTATTCTCGCGGGGCGAAACCAAAGTCCTTTCAGTGATAACCGTTGGTAAAATTAGTGAAAAACAATTAGTTGATAGCATTTTTAATCGTTCTTACAAGCATTTTATTCACCATTATAATTTTCCGGGTTTTGCGGTCAATGAAATTGCTAGTTATCGAGCGGTTTCTCGGCGCGAAATCGGCCACGGAGAATTAGTAGAAAAGACTTTTGATTACTTAATTCCAGCGTCCAGTTCCTTTCCCTACACCGTGCGGGCAGTTTCGGAAGTTCTTTCTTCGGACGGTTCCTCCTCGCAAGCCTCCATTTGTGCTACTTCTTTATCCTTAATGACAGCCGGAGTGCCGCTAATTAGACCGGCTGCCGGCATAGCCTTGGGTCTCTTCGAAGGGCAGATTTACAATGATATCAACGGGTTGGAGGACAAATTAGGTGAAATGGATTTCAAAATTGCCGGCACCAAAAAGGGTATTTGTTCTATTCAATTGGATGTCAAAAACCAAGGAATTAGCCATGAGTTAATAAAAGAATGCCTAGAAAAAGCCCGGCAGGCACGGATTTGCCTGTTAACGGAGATGAAAAAACACATTTATCATCCTCGCCCACATTTACCAACCCAGGTTATTAAATGTCGCCAATTACCAGTACCCAAAGAAAAAATCGGCTTAATTATCGGACCCCGTGGTAGGACTATCAATCAATTAACCGAGGAGACAGGGTCAACGATCGAAGTTCAGCCAGACGGTTATATTCTTATCTATCACCAAGAGGAGGACCAATTAGAAAAAACTTGTCAAGCCATTAAGAAAATAATTAAAAATATCTGACATTAGGAACCATTATTTAGGTAAAGGAGGAATGTTCTTCTATAAAATGATAATATAATATTTAATTATGAAGTAAAATTATGGCAAAAAACAATAACGTAATTGAGGAAATTAAAGAATTAATCCAAAAAATTAAAAATGAATATCAGGAGGAGGTTGATTTTGCGTTTGTTGCTCCAAGTCTGATTAATAGGGCAAGTGGAGGATACAGAGTTAAAATTATTTCTCCTAGATTAAAAAAATTTTGTCGTGAGAAATTTAGTCTTTTGTCTGGTGTTAATTATCATTTAGATTATAAAAAAGGAGACCAAGAAGGCAATGATTTTTATTATCGAATTTGTGTTGATAATAACGATTACGACGTTTTAGATTGTGTGAAAGATGAACTATATCGGTTTAATGATTAATAGTGAAGAGCCGAAAAAATGTAAAGCTTGTGGAGAATTAGATTCCTATGAAAACGGGCGAATAGTTATGTGAAGCGGAAGAAAAATTGGTGGTTTCCTCAATCCAAGTCCTAATATTATTTCTTACTTTCATCCTGAATGTGCCAAAAAATATTTTGCTGATAAAGCGCAACCAAACGAAAATAATGTTCGGATAAAAGAAAAATTATTGCGAAATTTGGATAAAATATGCTTAGACCCCTACGGTTATTTGGCGAATAACGAATGTTTAAAAACAGATGAAGCGGAGGAAGAATACCAAAAGACATTTAACTTGCCGTATCAAAGGGAATGAAAAAACCGCTATCTAAAAATAATTATCGACGGCGAGGAGATAGACTTATACGATTTTGATAATGCTAGCAATGAGTATTTTGAGGTAAAAAGAGAGTTAGTTAAGAAAATAAAACAAGAAATTAAGCAAAATCCTTTTGAGTGGAAAATTGAGTGGGGAAAAAATGAGAATTATGTTGACAAAAGCCTAAATCAATTGGTTAAGCATCAACCGTCCGGTCGGCGGTATTGAAAATTAGCCATTAATCAATATTGAGCCGAAATTGAAACAGCCTTAAAAAACTCTGGCTTTCCGGTTATTGATAATTCTCCCAACAAATCAAACTCCACCTCAACTGAAACTAAAAAAAGGTGATATAAACCAAAAGATTATACTTTTGCTTGAACAATAGGCTCCATTTCCGTAGCACTTTGCTTGCTTATTGCTATTATTTTTTCTCGCAAAAGAATAAAAAAATAAATATATCATGACACCAATCAAAAAAAAAAAAAAAAAAAACAGTTAGATATCAAGCCCCAAGTAGAGTAGCGGCCGAATGAAATCAATCAGTAAATTACAAAATTAATAAATATTCATTATGGCAGCATTAGTAACAAAC